GATGGGGGGGTCGTGGGGTCCACCTGGGGACATGGGGGGGGGGCAGAGGGGTCCCCCTCGACCCTCCCCAGCCCCCCGTGTCTCCCCGTGTCTCCGTACCTGGTAGTGCCGGTAGAGCACGGGGAAGGTGAACGCGCAGATGACGCCTGGACCGGGAGTGCCACGTCAGGCCAGGTCCCCGTCCTGTCCCCCGTCCCTGTGCCACACCCCCGTCCCCTCGAACCCCTCTCCCCAGCCTGTCCCCATGCTCTGTCCCCTGTCTCCACGGTGTCCCCGATCCCCGTGCCATCCCCCTGGCTCCAGGCACTACTCCTGTCCCCTCCACCTGTCCCCTTACCCCCAGCCTGTCCCCATGCCGCCCAGTGTCCTTGTGCCTGTCCCCAGGCCCCATCCTACCCCCTGGGCTCTGTCTCCATGCCCCATACCTGTCCCGTATTCTGTGTCCCTGTCCCCAGGCCCCATCCCCTGTCCCTGTCCCCACCCCACGTCCCTTCTCCCTCCCCCAGTGCCCCGTCCCCGTGCCGTACCTGCTCCCAGCAGCGTCAGCCCGTTGCAGACAGCCCCCACGTAGGTCAGCAGGTAGAACAAGAAGGCGAACTGCGGCCAGAGCCCGGTGTCACCTCACCCTTGCCGTCCCCGTCACCGCCCCGGGTGAGTCCCGTGCCACCCGTGTCCTCGTGCCACACGTCCCCAGTCCACGGTCCCCTCCGGCTGCGCCCTGCACAGGGACAGGGACAGACGTGGGGTGGGGATGGGGACTGCGGGGACAGCTGTGGGGACAGGGAAGGCAGGGACACCCCATGACATGGGGATGGGGATGGCAAGGACATCTCGTGCCATGGGGACGGGGACAGCAGGGACACCGCATGCCATGGGGACAGGAGGGACATGTCACGCCGTGGGGACAGGGATGACAGAGCCACCCCGTGCCATGGGGACAGGGACATCAGGGCCACCCAGGGCAAGGGGAGGGGGATGACAGATCCACCCCATGCCATGGGGACAGGGACATCAGGGCCACCCAGGGCAAGGGGAAGGGGATCCACCCCATGCCATGGGGACAGGAGGGACATGTCACACCGTGGGGACAGGGATGACAGAGCCACCCCGTGCCATGGGGACAGGGAGGGACAGCAGGGCCTCCCAGGGCAAGGGGAGGGGGATGACAGATCCACCCCATGCCATGGGGACAGGGACATCAGGGCCACCCAGGGCAAGGGGAGGGGGATGACAGAGCCACCCCATGCCATGGGGACAGGGACATCAGGGCCACCCAGGGCAAGGGGAGGGGGAAAGCAGGGACACCCCATGCCATGGGGACAGGGACATCAGGGCCACCCAGGGCAAGGGGAGGGGGATGACAGATCCACCCTGTGCCATGGGGACGGGGACATCAGGGCCACCCAGGGCGAGGGGAGGGGGATGACAGAGCCACCCTGTGCCATGGGGACAGGGACATCAGGGCCACCCAGGGCAAGGGGAGGGGGAAAGCAGGGACACCCCATGCCATGGGGACAGGGACATCAGGGCCACCCAGGGCAAGGGGAGGGGGATGACAGATCCACCCTGTGCCATGGGGACAGGGACATCAGGGCCACCCAGGGCAAGGGGAGGGGGATGACAGATCCACCCCATGCCATGGGGACAGGGACATCAGGGCCACCCAGGGCAAGGGGAGGGGGATGACAGATCCACCCCATGCCATGGGGACAGGGACATCAGGGCCACCCAGGGCAAGGGGAGGGGGATGACAGATCCACCCCATGCCATGGGGACAGGGACATCAGGGCCACCCAGGGCAAGGGGAGGGGGATGACAGATCCACCCCATGCCATGGGGACAGGGACATCAGGGCCACCCAGGGCAAGGGGAGGGGGATGACAGATCCACCCCATGCCATGGGGACAGGGACATCAGGGCCACCCAGGGCAAGGGGAGGGGGATGACAGATCCACCCTGTGCCATGGGGACAGGGACATCAGGGCCACCCAGGGCAAGGGGAGGGGGATGACAGATCCACCCTGTGCCATGGGGACGGGGACATCAGGGCCACCCAGGGCGAGGGGAGGGGGATGACAGAGCCACCCCGTGCCATGGGGCGAGGGACATCACCCATATCAGCCACCCCTGGCACCCACCAGTGATCCCAGTATCCCCTCCAGAGCCCCCCAGTACCTCCCAGGGCCCCCCACACCCATATCAGCCACCCCTGGCACCCACCAGTGATCCCAGTATCCCCTCCAGAGCCCCCCAGTACCTCCCAGGGCCCCCCACACCCATATCAGCCACCCCTGGCACCCACCAGTGATCCCAGTATCCCCTCCAGAGCCCCCCAGTACCTCCCAGGGCCCCCCACACCCATATCAGCCACCCCTGGCACCCACCAGTGATCCCAGTATCCCCTCCAGAGCCCCCCAGTACCTCCCAGGGCCCCCCACACCCATATCAGCCACCCCTGGCACCCACCAGTGATCCCAGTATCCCCTCCAGAGCCCCCCAGTACCTCCCAGGGCCCCCCACACCCATATCAGCCACCCCTGGCACCCACCAGTGATCCCAGTATCCCCTCCAGAGCCCCCCAGTACCTCCCAGGGCCCCCCACACCCATATCAGCCACCCCTGGCACCCACCAGTGATCCCAGTATCCCCTCCAGAGCCCCCCAGTACCTCCCAGGGCCCCCCACACCCATATCAGCCACCCCTGGCACCCACCAGTGATCCCAGTATCCCCTCCAGAGCCCCCCAGTACCTCCCAGGGCCCCCCACACCCATATCAGCCACCCCTGGTACCCACCAGTGATCCCAGTATCCCCTCCAGAGCCCCCCAGTACCTCCCAGGGCCCCCCACACCCATATCAGCCACCCCTGG